AGATTCGTATTGTCAAGATACGGGAGTATGTTTAATTTCGTTTCGTAATGAAATGATTTATGTAGCATCGAATTGGAATTATTCGAAATTTTCATTGATTCATGAAAATTCGTTATGGTCAAAAGACAATTGTTAGTTTTTGGGGTTTGTGGGATGTGAATATTGCAAAATAACGTGAAGACCCAATATTTTACTGAGTGCAAAATAACAGCGCAAATAAAGTCTTTATTATGTCGTTAAGATTGTTATGTTATTTTCACTGTCATAAAAATAACGTGATAGTGAGAATGGCGATGCAATAAATGTCGTAATGAAGTGGATTATTCTCAATCGTTAAATCTCATAGTTTGATTGATTATAATTAATTGAGTTTTGAATACTTTCAGTATATTGGATGAAGAAGAAATGTATGAGAAAGGAGGTCCTTTTACAGTTTCACAACTCTGCGCAATTGCGAAATTTTGTAATCATTTTTGTTTTCGTTCAGTTTGGAACGGTTATGTGAGTGAGTTATGTTTATATTCGTGTTTGATTTTTGATTTTATGTCATAATCATCAAAATTGAACATTTTATTAGTGGACGATGAAGTAGTTGTTACTGATAAGTTTCATTCAGATACACAGCAGCTATCCAATTGTGCGTTATTCTCATCGGTTTACCAGCTTTGTATGCTCCTTTATAATCGTGACTGTCGACGTTCGTTTACGAAAGATGCGAAGTTTTGGTTGGCACCGTAAGTTTAAGTCTTTTCGAAGTTTTTACTTCTAATGTTTGAATTTTACTCAAAATTTGGCATTCGAATGGAAGATAATTTCTGTGTGTGATTATTGAGGTAGTAATGAAGTGAATGAATAATACATAAGTGAATACGCGAGTTTATGAAATTTATTGTGTCATTTCTATGCGTTAAATATTAAATGAGAAAATAATTTGAAGTGATGTGAAGAGCTCAACGATAATGAATGAATTCGAGAAGAAAACAGAGCGTGCCCAATTTTTGATCTCGAAAATGAGCCATTTGGTCGTGCTACACGATCGAATTCTACTCTTCAGGTTTTACTGTTTTCGTTACATTTTGTTCCACTCGAACGGATTTTCCATGCCTCATATTTTGAATTTTACCTTCTGTTCGGTGATTATTGCGTTTCGTTGATTGAATGATGAGATGTTGGATTT